TAAGAGATATATAATACTTCTTATAAAACTATATAGTTTATAGCTATAGTACTATATAGTATAATATAAAGTATAGACTATTAAAACTACTACTGATTCTATAGTGAATATAGATAGAATTATCTATAGATTTTATTATTAAACTATCCCTAATAGTATATATAGATATAATAAATTTAATAGTAATTATAGACTAGCTTATAAAGACTATGATTCTTATAAATATAGTAGAAATAACTATTAAGAGAGTAGTAGATATATTCTTTATTTACTTTTATATATACTATAGGCTACTATAAGTAGTTGTAAGTAACCATAGGTCTTAATTTATAGATATATTCTAGCGAATAATATATAAGAAGCTATCGATTTAATATTAACTATTAACCACTTTCTATCTATAATCCAATAGTATTATAGAGTATATAAACCAAGAAATTAAATAGATCTTATATATATTTATAATCTATATATAGAGTAATTAAAGTATATTACTTCCTATTATTACTATAATAATTAATAACTACAATACTAGTATAATAGGACTATCCCCCTTCTTCTTTATATATAGTTATTATATTAACCCTATTAAAATAGAAAAGATAGAGGAACTCTATAAAACCTATATACAACTGGGAATTGTAGATAAAATATTTATAAATTAACTATAAGAAACTACTAATTAGGCCTAAGCTATAATTACTTTTATATAAGCTCTATAGGAAGAGTAATTAAATAAATAATAATAGGCTATACTAGTCTATAAGAAAGATAACTAGGTATAGCTAAATTTACGGAATATATATATATAATAATAATTAAAGAAGCTAGACTAGCTATATACTTAATATTAAGTTTTAAATATTCCTATACCTTATATAATATAATTAGAGGTATCTACTAGTATCTATCTAGTATTCTATATAGAGCTAATTAGACCTATTACTTTAGATCTATTTCTATTATAGATTATAGATAATTTATATCCCCTACTAATACTAGTTAATAGGGAACTTAAGTATAAAGTAGAAGAAATAATAAATATAAGATATAAGAAAGTTAATTAAGAATACTATAATAAAGCCCTAGTAAAATAAATAGATTAGATAGAATAGACCTAGCAGAGTCTTAGTAACGTTCAAGATTACTCTATATTAGATGTCTTTAAAAGATAATTCGGCCCCGTTTTGACTCTATTGTAGGCCTGAAGATAACTGAATATAACTATAATATATATAAGAAGGACTATCCTAAAGGGGGAATACTATTATAGGCTAATACTTAGTATAAGGTTATATAGTATATATAACTATAATAACCTAACATATAGAATATCTATTTAGTAATTCTCTCTTTAAGCTTTTTATATATAGTACGTAGCCTAGCTTAATTGAATATAAATTCTGCTTTAGCCCTTTATAGATATTTTATTAATAAAGAATAATTAAACTAGACTTAACTTATTAAGATAGTATAATTTATATATAATAATACTATTAATATATTAATTAATAAGACTTCTTTTTATATACTACTTAGATATAATCCTAATTTCTAAATCTAAACTCTTAATAAAATACTTAAGAAAGAGACCCTTAATACTAAAAAATAAGTAAATTACTTCTAGAATATCTATAAAAAGACTATAAATAAACTTTAAATTATATAAAAAACACAATAAAAATCCTATAATAAAAATTATAAGCTAAAGGACTTTAAAGTAGAAATCCTTATATTCCTTTTAATAAAGAATCTTTACTTTAAAGCTAAAGAAAAGAAGCTATTCCCCTATTAAATTAGATTCTTCTATATCCTTATAAAAATTAATACCTAGATCTATTATATTATATTACTAGAAAAATACTTAAGATTATATAATATCTTCTCTATCTCTCTTCTTAAATTATAGAATAGCTAAAATAATAATAACTTATAAATACTAATACTAAAACTTAAAGATAAAGAAGAATAAGAAGTTAAAGAGATTTAAAATAAAAAAGTCTTTAATAAAATACTATATTACTATATAAAATAGATAGGATAGTTCTTAGAATATAATTAATATGAACTAGTAGAATATTTAGAAAATATAAGAGATATAATAACTTTATTTAAGAAAAACTAAGCTTATAAAATAATATCTTAATAATACTAAAAACCCTCTAAAACCCCTCTAAATTATCTTTAAATTAATATTAGATAAAGAAAAGCTATACTAAATAAAGCTACTTAGTTAAAAAAAGAGAAGAATAAATAAGATAAAAATAATAAATTACTATAGAATTCTATATTAAGTTATAAATACTTTAATATTAATAACTATTACTATTATAATTAAAGTTAAAATAATCCTAATTAAAGTTATATTATACTAATATCCTATTATAATCTCTATAAAAAAGGATTAAATACTACTCTATTAGAAAGTAAAACTAGTATTACTAATCTATAGATATAAAAGATTATTAGAATAATAAAAAGACTAAGTAAAAGATAGATTAGTCTTAATATTTAACTCCTTCTATTATTTAGTAATAAATATAGTATATACCCTTATAGCTTAATCTATATTCTATAAATTAAAATAAAGCTTATAACTAGAAAAATAAATAAAGATTATCTTTTAGAAAGATATTAAGAGATAAGTAGATCCCTTTATAACTATAATCTTACTTTCCTTATTTTAGATAAATATAATACTATTAATAATTACTATAGTAATACTATTACTTTAAACTTTATATATCTAATTAAGAATTAACTAAAGCTAATATAAATTACTATAAATTCTATAAGATATCTAAGATAAATTAGTACTAAATTAAATATAACTTAAAGAAAAACCTTACCTAAAAGTAATTTTTACTATACTCTTTATATAAAATATAAGTAATTAAGTTTATATAATCCTAATTATAATAGATCTTAGGAATAATATCCTTAGGAGGATAAAGAGCTATTTTAGTAATATATCTAATATAAAATATAAAAGAAGAGTAAGTAATTTAATTATAAAGAGGATATAAACTAATAGAAGTACTAATAATACTTCTATTATTCCTATTAATCCTATTATCTCTATTACTATTATTATTATTTTTATCTCTAACCTAACCTTTATCTCTAGTTATATAATAACTACTATAATAAGAAGGATTACTAAAAATATTAGAAGTAATAGCCTTAGATATATTAAAATAAAATAAGATAAAAATAAAGAGTAAAAAGATAGAGAGTCAAGAATTAAGAGTTAAGAAAAGGGAAAAGATAAGAGTAAAAAGATAGGAAAGAAGCTCTTATCTTAAAGATATTAAAGAACCTATATTACTTTATTTATATCTATATATAAAGATATCTAAGGTAATATTAGTCCTAGAATCTTTGTTTAATATAATATTACTAGATATAAATTATCCAATTAAATATAAGTTATATAGATAGTTAAGTTAACTATTATTAAAAGAAGAGAATAAATTATTATAGGATTCCTAAATCTCTTCGGATATAATTTAAATACGATTTATAGTTACTCTATAGGTGAATCTACTATAATATATCTACTAATATATAACTACCCTAAGCTCTAGTAAGCTCTAGTAATATTAAAATATATAAATAATAGCTACAATTCTTATCCTATAAGAATCAGTTCTATATATTAACTGTTCTATTTAATCTCTACTATCCAATATCTTTGTCTAGTTATAGCTCTCTAGCCTGATAACTTAGTAACCATTATAAGATTAAAGGTACTATTTATCTAAATAATATAATTAGTACTATCCTACTATAGTAGTATACTATTTAACTTTAGTTTAGAAAATACTTATACTAAGTAGTAGTATACTATTAGTATCTTCTTCTTAATCTCTATAATCTTTTCTTATAGAGATATCTTTTTAATAATATAATTAATCTTATAGAGTAAAGTTATAAAGATCTCTATATCTATCTTCTTTATATATTAATAGAATCCTATTACTCTAATTATTATAATCTTAGGGAGAAGAAGAAGATAGAATAATATTTTCTTAGGCTATTTTAGAAGTAATTTAATACTAGTTAAAGCCCTATCTATCTTTATTTATAATTCTTAGTACTTATACTATTATTTAGCTAAGTAGCTATATTTTAATTAGGACTCTAGAGACTCTTCTTAAGATATAAGCTCTTTAAATATAGGAATAGGGTTATTTAGCTAAATAAGCCTATTGTTATAATAGTTTATTAGGATATAGTATTATATAAACTAGTCCTAACCTAGGATTATATAATATTAACCTATATCTATAATTAAGAAAGATAGTCTGGTTATCTTCTATCTATTTATTATTAAATTTAATTATATTTTATAGGTAATAGGCTTATCTTTATATCTATTAAAGTCTTTTAGGATTATTAGAACTAAAAGATAATCGTTCTTTAATCTAAATTTTTCTAAAGATATAATAAATATTATATCTATATATATAAATCTAGTAGCTCTAGTATTACCTAATACTAATATAGGATAAGAATATTTATTAAAGGCTATCTTTATTTTAAGTATAAATTTCTTACTTATAGATATATTTTCTATATTTAACTTAGGGATTAATATCTCTCTACTTATTAAAAAGACTAATAATAAACCTAATCTTTTTCTATTTTAGTATTTGCTTCTAGCTCTATTACTTTAGCTATAATAGGAGTTTTTCTACTTATAGCCTTAGCTATAAGATAAGCTATATAGATAGAATAATCCTTACTATAATAGCCTTATTTTTTATACTAATAATAATATTCTTCCTTTTATTGTCTTTAGAGTTTAGTTATATCTAACTTTAGGTATAAGATAGTTAAAGAGGACTAGTTAGGAAGATCTATAATAGGCTTTATATTCTATATATTATATATCTTACTAGTATTATTAGTATTGTCTGACACGGTGAGCGGGCCGCCGAAAACGGCTCCCATTGCACCGCCGCTCTGCCGCCCCCCACCGCCTGCTGCCTTCCGCCATGGCCCTGCCCCTTCGGGTATGGCGTCCCACCTCCGACCCCGCTTCGGGCTTAGTGCCCACGCTGGCCGCTTTTACCGCCCCCCGTCATCTGCCATCCATCTATAAAGGACCGCTTGCCCTCCCCTCGACTCGTCGACGCACTTCGTCCTCTTCGACACCCCTGCCTGGCTTCCGCATCCCTTTCTTCGCCGGCCCCGCCGCTTCCTGCGCATGGACCTTCAGCCTGATGCACTGCCCCTTTCATTACGTCGGCGACGCCGTGTTGTCCGGCCGCCCCAGGGGAAGAAACACCGACGTGATTCCTGATCCAGTCTTCTACCGCATTGGGTGTGCTTGACATCGCATGCTTGCCATCATGTGGCTGCGTGTCCCGCTCTTCTCCAAACGATTCACCATGGATCTGGCTACGAAGCTATCTCAGTTGCCTGTCGCCAGCAAGGCCTTCCCATGAAAACGTCTCTCTTCCTCTGCTTCCTTCGCTTGTCGCAAAATTTCCCGGGTTTCCCCTCGTACCCTGTTCGGCGTTTCGTACTCCACCTCGTCCGCCCCTTTGAAACCCCATCAGACATCAGAGGTTACATTGCATAGCCCTTGGCGTCGCAGATTTCATCTCGGCCGCTTGCTCCCAACCGTCTCGACCCCGTCGTCGTCGTCATCGTCGGCCTCTCCGGCCCACCCTCGCCCAATCGGTTAGACATGACAGCTTGCAACCATAATACGAGCCAATAGCGAAAATGCCGCGCCATTAGTGAGGCAAATACCTGTTCAAGCTAGGGTAAGACCCCACAACCACGCAGTCTGGTGATTGGAGGACAGAGCAAGCGACGACCGTGGAAGAGATCATTGGTTGGGGGCTATTGGTGAGATTGATGGGGTTTCTAACCTCGCGGATGCGAGAATATCGTGATATCCTGGTTTCGCAAATTGTGGACGGAGTGGCATGGGTTGCAGGAGCCGATCCGTATCATCTAAGCAGGGAAAAAAGCAGATCAGACCGCGCCTCGCGTCCTATAAAGAGGCCGAAGTCCGCCAGAATGACACTCAGCGCAGCAATTCCAAGTTCTCCCATCCTGCCCCTTTCCACTGCCCACTTCCTTCTGCCCCTGCCCAAAGTCCCTGTTTGCGTTTCTCTATCTACGAGTGGCCTCATTCATCATATGCCGTGAACTCGATCAGCTGCTTTTTTTTTTCTTTTCTCGAACAATATGTCTGTCGATAGCTTTCGATTGGATTCTTTCCGCCCGTGGAACCCTTTTCAAGACAAAGTGCAGATTTTGCGAGATTCGCTCGATATCTGTCGATACCCAAGTCCTGTCTCGATCACTGCCACCTCGCCTCTCTCCGATTCCAGCGACTCGGCTCCAGAGAGTACAAATGTTCACTCTTGTGAATCTGTGCGACACCCCCTTCCTCCCCGACCGCCGTCGGAGGTTTGCCTGAAAGATAGCCTACCACAGGTGATAAACACTCAGCACCAATCTGCTGTGGAGGATCAGATACCATGCGTTAACCCTGGGGTTGAGGCGTTCGACTTCGACGATATCTTGCAACTGCCTGATTTGCCAAGCTCTGGAGATCAGGACTATCCTATGATATGTCATGATCTAGGCTCGGAGCTCGCTTGCATTACCAGTCAGCGCTCTAATGTTGGTAATGCTGGAAGTTTCGGTGTGACCCGCGAGTGTTCCGACGCAACAATTGACCCGGCAATCCTGGACGACGATCATATCCAAGATATTGAGCAGACCCCGGCAAGAAATGAGACCTCGGACGTTGTGTCCCCTTATTCTCCGTCAGATAAAAGGGTTCGTGGTCCCAGCATGCGACCACATTCGCAAAGGACAACGAGCCCTAGGCGGCAGCGGTCCAAAGTCAGCAAAGTTGCCGTCGTCGTGAACAATCGCCACATGGATAAGACTGGCCGAACTACTCAAGCAAACAGGCCCGCTGCAACCTCGTTTTCTACTCTTCGTGATCAATTTTCCTCTCTACCGGTCGAAGAGCGACTCCAGTTTTTATCCTGGCTGTTTGAGGGTGCTTTGTCGCAATGCTTTCATTTGCCCTCTGATCCGAAATCTGCATCAGTATCGAAGAGCATCGAGAGAGAAGAAGTCACAACTTCATTGGCTGACCAATCAAGCGTAGGCGATGAAAATGCCCACGGAAAGCCTACTTGCTCTTCAAGAAAAGGATTGCGCTGGTCACTAGAAGAGAAACGCCTTTTGGTGCAGCTGAGAGAGGAAGAATCTCTCCCCTGGTCGGAAGTGGTTGCGCGATTTCTTCAAAGGTTTCCTGGGAGGAGTGAAGGTTCCATACAGGTCTATTGGAGCACGACGATGAAAAAAGAGCGATCATCTTAGCGGGAACCAAGGGAAATGACATCTTCTTCAATTCTGCGTTGCCATGTACAGAGTAAACTCTTTCGAGAGAATATATCTTTTGTGAGACTACAACGCCGTTTTTCATATCGTCAGTTCACAGAGGCGGGGCGTCTGTGATTTTCATGAACCGTCGATTTGCCAAGTATGCCTCAGGCCACAGAAGGAGTCTGAGCGACGAAAGCTGACTCTCCACTACATAGTCAAGATAGTCGTTTCAATAAGTAGATACATTTGTCAACCTTCCACCACATGACACCCGACACCACTAGTACATTGTCAACTCAGATCAGACTCATATCCAGCCATCATAGAACCGACCATGAACGAGATCAACCGAGAATGAAAAAACTGGTATGAGGATCGAGAACGATGCTTGCAAATCTGTCGAAGGATCGGGTATAAACAGAGTCTGAACATTCTAATTTGGTATAAATACCCAACCTTTAAACCTCTGTCTGTTTATCAGGACATCCATTTTGACTTGAATGCTCTACCATTCTCCCGTCTAGAGTCCGCTTTTTCTCCTGGGCCTTCTCTATCACATCACCGTTGAGCACTGTGTCGACGACAAAGAAATTACCGGCAAAGCAGAGACACATTAGAGGAATGAATATGTCAAAGACAACGCGAAACCCTTTCATTTCCGCATCGAGAATTTGAGAGCGGTACTCCTCGGTACTAACGTCGCTGCTATCTATAAGAGAGAACAAAAATCTGCCCGGACGAAGAATTTGCACTCATACTCCCCTGAATGCTTCCATTCCCCATTCCTCGTCCCCCATCCGCTCACTGTGTCCCATTTACTGCCCGTTCCGCCGCCCTGCCTAAACTTTCAAGCAGACTTCTAATAGTAGAAGTGGGTGGCTCCAAACCCCTTGTTCCGTGATATGTCAAGCGACAGTTTTCGATTGGAGTCTTTCCGGTCGTGGAATCCTTTGATTCCTATCCAAGATCAATCGCAATCTCGGCGGGATTCTCAAAACATTTCCCGCTACCTAACCGGTCTCGATCACCCCGACTCCACCTCCTTCCAACCTCAGCAAAGCAGCTGCAGTAAACGCCAATGTTCATTCTCACAAATTTGAGCGACATCTTCTCTTTCCCCGACCGCCAGTGCAGGCTTGCTTCAACGATAATCTATCACGGGAGATGAGCACTCAGCGCCAAGATGCTACGGAGCTTCAGCAATTATGCGTTGATCGCGGAATTGAATCATTCGAATCCGAGCATATTCTGCAACCGCAGGTTTTGCCGAGCCTCGCAGACGAGGACCGTCCGACGATCTGCGATCACACTGCTCCAGCGTTCCAGCAACCACTTGCTTTTGACAGCGGTCTCCCGGGACTTGACTGTACTGCAAGTCAGCATTTTGGTCTTGAAAACATAGAAAACTCTGCTCTGACCAGCGTGTGTTGCGATACAACAATTGGTCCCGCAATTGTGGAAAGTCCTATTTTCCGAGACCTGGAGCGGGCCCCGACAAGTGAAGAGACTTCTAACGATGAGGCGAAGTCTCGTTCGTCGGGTAAAGCTATTCGTGACCGTGACAAGCGATTAAATTCAAAAAGCACAATGAAGGCACGGCGGCAGAGTTCCAAAGGTGATCGTCGTACTCGAGCGAAAGATTCAGCCAGAATGTCGTTTCCTATTCTTCGAGGTTATTTCTGTTCTCTACCAGTTGAAGAGCAACTGCAGTTCTTATCCTGGCTGTTTCAGGGTGCTTTGTCCCAATGCCTCCATCGTTCAACCAACTCACATGACGCATCGTCGTTAGGGTTTGTCGCAGGCGATGCAGATTTTTCGACTGCCTCTGTGCAATCATTACCGGATGCCAACGCGGTCGACGCAGAGCCTTCTCGCACTTCGAGAAAAGGACTTCCTTTTTCTGCGGAAGAGGATCGCCTTCTGGTAAAGCTTAGGAAGGAGGAAAATCTGGCCTGGTCGGAAGTGGTCACGCGATTTAGCCAGAAATTCCCTGGGAGAAGTAAAGGCTCCATACAAGTGCACTGGAGCACGAGGCTTAAAAACCCAACCGCCGTCTTGAACTAGCACGCAAGAGAAAGAAAGAGAGAGTATATCGGTTTGCTGATACACAACCATTCTTTCCCTGTAAATAATTACTTCACAAACTATGAACTACTGTCCGCTTGAATTCAATGGCTACTTGCACATGAGCTGCCAGAAAGATGTAAAGGTAGGCCGTATGATGATAAAACTAAGCTTTGGCACAAACTTGTCAGCAAGGCCAGTGGTATCCGGACAAAGGAAATGCTGAGGATCGAGGGTACGGATGAAGGAAAGGCGTACTATAAGACATCCATGACACGTTATCAGGTATGCTATGGGGTCTTGGGGCCTTCGCAGGTTTGAAGAAGTTGTCTAGCGACTCGTAGGCCGGCCTCCATACAATGAGGTTGCAAAAGCAAGTTTTGCAGCTGATTCCACCGAGAGCGGCTCCCATAGGCGAAAAGTACTTACTTAGGCCGACGCTGACCCTCGTTCCTGCCTTTTTAGCCCTTTAGAGCCTAGTCCGGCATGGCTGATTGCACGCATATTCTTATTAAATTCATCCTGTCTTTTCTAAGTATGATATATCTACTCTATACACTTTCTTATACGCTGTGCGAAATAAGATCGGGACAAGTTTTGACCGACGGCACTTTCCAAAATATAATCCAACTAGTGATGGGCCACATGATCAAAGCTTCAAGAGCACAAATAGTATCTTACAGATTTGAACTGCCGCAACGTAACGATGGTCCCACTAGGTAGCTGTCGGTGTGCACTGCTTCCGCTCTGGTACACCGCCATGGCATGCCGCCTAAGATTGAAGTCCAAGTTGCCGCCTTGAGCACCGCCTTGAGCACCGCCTTGAGCACCGCCTTGAGCACCGCCTTGAGCACCGCCTTGAGCACCGCCTTGGGTCCTTTACCAGGTTCATCCTGCCGCTCGACAGACCGCCTGCTGAAAATTGTTCACAGCCTCACCGCTGAGAGCCACGATTGCACAACCGCAACGCCGACCGCTTCCTGCATCTAGCCCTGACCGGTCTTGTTCTACACCGCCGGACGAAGACACAGGTTATTCTCTTCTCACCGCCAAGGGCACCGATCAGCGCACCGCCTTTTGGCGTCTCTCCTTTCACCGCTGCGAAGACCGCTAAATGAACCGCCTTCTGCATCCGTTTGATCATCACCCCTCGTATTTAGATTCCGTTCTCTCAGTGACTCACAACGCCTACTCAGCCCTATCTGGTCGACGGCTTAACCCAACCGATGTAACATTTCTGAAAAGCTTAGATGTCGAGACTCCATACTTGAATCTACAACTGTCTCTATATATGAACACTTCCAAAGCTTGAATACTTCAATGACGGGCTCAATTCTGACTTTTTAGCACAATTAATCTTGTGGCCGAGTCAAAAAATAGGCCGCGCAGGAACCTCGTTTGGGTCCAACATCCGTCGCCCCATCCTAAAGCTTGCGAGGCCCCATGTGCATCACCCTTTAAACCCTCATGGAACGTCACTCATTTGTACGTTATTCGCCCTTTCTTTTAGGTGGGTATAAAGGAAGGAGTTTTATTGGAGTTGCCTCAAGCTGCCCTGCGGCCTCACGTGAAATCTACACCGACATTATGGAGGGTTGCTTTTTTCTACAACTGCCTCGTAAGAGTCAGTTGCTTGCCCCTGGTGGTATCTCGTCATCTATCACGCAGTCAAGTGTCGACTTTGTCCCTCCCACCCCCCTCTGTATATAGAAAGCGGTATTGCAATATACAGACACATTGCCTCCCTACAAGGGAGCGCGGATGGGCCTTCTCTGACACTACAGTCTAATGCGTTTACGCATAAGACGGCAGCGACAGGTAACCCGTTACGGCCAAACTATACATGTTCCTGTTCCCTTCTTGACTGCGAGAGTTCACCAATAAATGATGATTCCTTCCCATGGAAAATTCTCAATTATAGCTGTTCAGTAAGTATACGGTATACCAATCTTTCCCACATCCCATTAGTTCACGCTTGAGATTCAATGGAATGCCGCTGTTTCAAAATATATACATACTATAAACAGATGCTGTAAATTTGAAATTTCGTTGAAAAAAGGGGGATTAGGGTTTTCAGATTACAGTGTTTGGGTCCAGAAAAAAATCCAGGGCTCTAAAGGTCGGGATGTAACCTCGATGAGGATATCATGAGTTGAATTGCTAGATTTACTAGTAAAATATTGAGATTATCAGCACTGCTCAAGCCTCTTTACCTCTGTTTTTTTTCAACCGGCGCAAGGGACAAAAGAGCCTACGTATGTTTGCTCTGTTTGAGGACAGTCAGGTAACAAAATCCAAACCATTGAAGGTCCCTAGAATAGGTGAAGTCTTATGAGACTCTGTGATGTTCCCGCGTCAGCCTCAGCGCTAAATGAGCACGCGGGGACAGTGAGATCTTATCCATTCTTCATAATCAACATAGACCTGAACGAATTACTATCTCTCTGTATAATACACGTCTACTTCATACATGTAGGGCATTGTGACCTAATATTCGGATGCTTGGGCCGACGAGGCTTTTTATGAATTTCGAAATATATTTTTGCAATGTCACATGAGCCAATGACAGTGTGACAGAAATCAAAGTAATGAATTTGATTTTGACAACCATCACCTTCATCCTGAATCTTCTATCACGCATGCGTGATTTTTGTGCTTTCATTGCCCCTCTCGAAATTCTGATCGGTTACCACAGTCGGTGTGGGGTAGTGCGAGCTCTGAAATACTACCTTAGCTTTATCCTTTTGCTTGAATGTTAGATTGCAACATACCAAGTTTGAAGTAAGAAAAGCCCAAAACCCAGATGAATCGGCCGACAGAATATGTACCCGACCTGTATCTCGCATGCGAATCCCTACGCATACATCTGCGTTACACATCTTGCTATACTCAAAGGCTTTTTTCATGAGGTTTGTTTTGCGGCGACATTGTTTTTGGCGCATTGATTTTCTGACTGGGGGACGTTTGAACAGCCTGGTTGTCATTGAAGTCATCGCCGGTGATTGAGTGTATCTGCAAGCTTTTTGTGTAAAATTCGTGAGCCGGATATACCAAAAGGCGCTCTTTATAGGGGAAGTATCTATTAAGGTTTATGTTTATACTACGTACGGCCAGTGTGAAGATAGGAAAACCAACACTTGATCACCGCACTCTCCAAATCTCACGATGTCGATATCAGCGACGGCCTCAACGTTGAACTTCGACTGTTTTATGAGGAAGTGAACCAACATGGAATTTTATGAACTCAAAAATCGATGCTTCGATAGATCGAAGGTTTATTGGCTTCGTGTTGAAGAGTGTTGAAGAGTGTTGAAGAGTGTTGAAGAGTGTTGAAGAGTGTTGAAGAGTGTTGAAGAGTGTTGTGTTATTTGGATGCAGGTAGGCTCATGTACAAGTAAAATACAACATTGCCAATCGTGGCTTTGTGTTGGGTGAAAGGCCCAAACGGTAAAGCTTGCTGTCTTTGCAGCGCTGGAGCCCACGGCGTAAAGTGAACATATCTTCAATAACACAACCGGAATTATTGGATTCTCGCGTTGTTGGAAGTGGAACCGGAGGAGCTGAAGAGTCAGTTCATTGCGCTACCACGGTGGCTCCCTAGACATACCACTTGTGTGTGCGTTGAGAAAAGCCGGTGTCACCTATGACCCTGTTTGATACAGTACGAAATTGCATAGATTTCTAGATTTCGCTCCATAAAACAGGAGATACTGCAGCGAGGAAGATAATAGAGGCGACAAAGAAAGCAAAGTCGAAATGGTAGAAATGCAACGGCCATTGAAAGTGAACTATTAGATACAGTCTACTTATGATACATGTACATAGCCAGAGTAAGAGCAGACATCAAGATCGACTGGGCTTGCTATTCCGAGATCATTTCCAGCGTACAATGAGCCAAGATGTAGGCCGGGCAAGAGAAATTTGCATCATACTTATGCAGATTAGACTAAGGACACCTGCTCCCACCTGGGAAGTAGGGATAGCTCCATGGCAGCCATGAAGATAAGCACAAGCTTATGACCCCGCATTTCTGCTCACGTAGTTTTCTGATTTATTCTGAAGGATTGCCTTCGCAGCCCCCAAGGGGCCTATAGAGATTCCCAGTCCTGGGCTTAACGGACCGTCACCCGTCAAGAATGCGTAAGAACCCGTTCAAAACGCAAATCCAGGTTAAAATGCCCCACGAAGATGCAGATCCCAAGGATGCCGAGTTTTCAAGGCTTGTTGCAATTGAGGTAATCTGAGGTGCACTGCCCAAAGAAGTGATAGTGGTCATGCCCCCGGTGAGGTTCTGAAAGGGTGTAAAGGTTGGCAGAATAAATGATAACGGTATGGGGACAGTGTTCCAAGAAACCCCGCCAGTCTCGGTCTCAATGGTCAGATGGGGTGTAGCTGTGATCCCCTTCAGGGAAGAGTCTATAACTTGGCTGCTGAAGTCCGCTGAGGAACGAGTCATCTTTCGCAGAGGATATCTGATTATTGGAAATGATCCAGAGAACAAAATCAAGTCTTAAGTACTTTTTGGTGCTGCATGAACTTGTGAAAAATGAACCGCTTTTCCCCTCTTAAAGTCTGCTGTATTGGGGGAAAAAAGTTGAGTGGCGAGGGTCTTAATATCGTTAAATAGCTGCGAGTCAATATGCAATATCAAAGTGCTAAGAAAACCGCCGCTTGAAGATACAATGTTGCTCTGAGAATCCATCAAGAAATTGAGTAGGGGATTTACGTGTAGAAGATATTTCATACTGATGGGTCGGCTCATACGCGTTGAGGTGGTGAGCTCCCATCGCAGTTGACGACGAGCTACGCTGAATCCTTTGTCTGATCACCCAATCTCCGCGGGATTGACACCAAAAATGATGCGGTAGATCAAATATTGAACTATCACAGTTTCGCATCTCCAACGCAAAGTCGATATCTCCAGTGGCAGCGCATGCAGATCGCTTGAAATATCAGCGAGCCTCCAAGAAATCGTTCATGTCAATTACAATTCGTGTGTGGAGTATGTAAATACCTCAAAGTTTTACGGCCCCGTACTAAAAGTGCCTGAAAGCATGTGTCACGGCGCTGGCGTTGCCCACTTAAACAAAGACCTTTCGGTTTGTGATGACTCAATATTATTTTCATAGTCCTCTAGTATCGCAATAAAAATGTGGCTGCTACTCAAAGTCTTTCCAAACTGGAGACCGGACCCCATTGGCGGTATAATAAATCTAATAAAATGATTATGCTCTATTGGAACACAGAAAAATGATACTATAAGTACACTAACTCCTACCGACCCGACAATTTCATCGCAGAGATTCTGTCAATAGCAATGGCGAATTCATGGCGAAAGCAACATACAACAGAAGAGGAAGAAAGAAGGTTGCACGTGTACCGATCACGCTGCTTTCAAGTCACTGCGAAAGTGCCTCTCTACTTCCTTTCGTTCGAAGAAGGATTTAGGAGCTGGATGAATAACCACGAGAACGTCACCAGACTCGAAAAGCTTATGAAAACCCAAGGTTGCCAGCGACTTATGCGAGAGAACCATGTGCCCGTAATAGTCTCGTCGGAAGATTGGATGACGAAAGTTGTACCGGTCTATGAGAATTCCGGAGTAGGCCTTGACATGCCCCATCTGCAGATTTCGCCTGGATACCGTTTACGCGCATTGGATCACGAGAGTCTCATCAACGCAGCCCAGATCAGGCTCAAGGGCCCAGACCAGTGGTGGATTGTTGATGTCTATGTTTTGGACACGGACTCTGGTAAGTGACGATCTGTTTGATCTTCGAATGCTCTTGACAGTCTAATAAGAAGAAATCGCGCTAATCAGCACAATCGTGGGCTTGGTATCATTGCAGGCGACGCCGTAGGGATAATCCAACAGAGATTTGTTCGTTCATTGAAGGAACGGATCCCTAATGATCTCAGTCCCCCAGATGGATTGGCCTATGAGCGAATCAACTACTACGAGGGACATCTCGATGGTCACATTAATCGCT